CAAAAATTTAAAAATTAACTGGGTGTGGTGGTGTGCACCTGTAGTCCCAGCTACTCAAGAGGCTAAGGCAGGAGGATCGCTTGAGCCCAGGAAGTCAAGAGCTGCAGCCATCTACGATGTACTCTCCAGCCTGGGAGATAGAGTGAGACCCCATCTCAAATAAAAACAAACGAAAATGTATTTCGATATCCCTGATCCATGTCAAATCTGCTAGTGTACCTTTGGTACATGACTTCTGCATTGTTTGCTAACTGACATTCTGTGTGAATAAAGTGTGTATCACAATGGTGTTTCTGTATGTTATCCAAGTGGGTCCTTTCCCCGGGATGTGAGTGAGCCAGTGGCATGGTCTTTTTAAGATTTTGCCAAGGGAAGACTGGGCTGGAACTGAGGCGCGAACTCGAAATCAAGTATCCCATTGGGTGCACTGGAGGGTAGAGAAGAGGGGATCCCTGCACGCATGCTAAATGATAAACTTTTGGAAGGGCAGGGTTGTGAGAGCTCTTCCAGGTCACCTAGTGCTCTGGGTCATGCATAAGTAGGAAATGGACCCCATACTCCCCGCAGAGAATCCTTCCCACAGGACTGAATGCTGTGCCCTCCTCGCCTCCCTCACACAAGGCGGAATCGCCGCGCATTGCACCGTAGGCGCTGGAGCCACTGCCCCTAGAACCAGATCTCTCTTCCAATCCTTTCCTCTCCAAGCTCCGGAGATGTCAAGGATTCCTTAGCAGGGGTTTTCCAATCTGCCCCTTGAGGAACTGCCCCTTAGGCAAGGCGGGCGGGGCCAAGCTATGATGTGGAGAATTCGATGTCCGAGCGACCTCCTAGGAGGAGTGGGTCGAGTTAAATATAACCGCGCGAATGGAATGGCGCTAAAAATAAGGCAGCAGCTGGCCGGTTCACAGCCCTGTCCCGGGAGGGGCGGGGGCCCGAGTGGTCCTGGGCAGGAAGGCGGCGCCCCGCCCAGGGGCGAGGAGGCTGCGGCGTCCGCAGCCTGAGCTGGAAGGCCTGGGACGCCGAGCTCCGTGGGCCCCGGGGCCTACAAGCGGGCTGGGTCGCGGGGCTGGAGGGGGACGGTCCGGAGGCATCCGAAAGCCAGGCCAACTTGCCTGGACGTAACAAGGCTGAAGGGCTGGGTGCTGAGGTCCTGCCCGCCCCGCCGCCAGAGGGAGCCGAGCGCCAGAGGAGGACAAGCGGAACCCTCCAGGAGGCCGGGCGTCTCCGGAGACCGAGGCGCCGGGGGACCCGCGAAGGGCGGCCCCGCGCGCTGCTCCGGAGGCTCCCGGGGTGGGTGGCGCTCGGCCTTTCCGCTCCCCGCCTTCCCACAAACCCCTTCCCGCGCGCGCCCCGCTGCCCTGCCCGCCCTCCCGCGTCAGCGCCCCAACCATCAAGCCAGCAATTGAAACGTTTCCAAAACGGGCTATTTATTTGCTCCCAATAAATCGATCGGCGGTGATTAAGAAATCGATGTGGCCTGGGTGGGCGAATCGCTCGCGGGGAGGGAGAAGCGGCTTTCGCCCAGTGCCTGCAGGGAGGCCGAGGGCGGGCGCGGGCCTGAGGGAGGCGTGTCCCGCCTGTGCCACACCCGAGGACCCGACACCTGGGCGCGCAGGCCCCGGCAGGCCGCGTTCCCTAGGGCGGAGAGGGGCGCGCGCCCGCCGCCGGCTATCCTCGGCCCCTCTCGCTTTTCTTTCTCGCGCGCCAGGGAGGCTGTGGCCGCCCGCGGCCGCCGAGCTGCTCGGAGGCTTTTGTTGCTCCTCGGCCCGCTGAATGGGGATTTTGTAAAGCGGGACAGATAAAAATGAGCAGCATCATATTGTTTGACAGAATGATCTCATATGATGAAGTGTCGGCTCCGAAGGGGGTGAAAATGGTGAATTCCTAAAAACCCAGCCCTGGGCTACTCTGCGAGCTGCCGGTAGCCTGGATGGACCCAGCGGACAGCCGGGCCCTGTCGCATCGCTCCAAACGGTGTCGGAAAGACTCCGGCTTTCAATGCCAAGTCATTTTTAAGCCCTGCTCCTGTCCAGGACCTTTCTCCTCGTGGATGAAAAGAACAATTTTCGAGAGAAAGGCTCGTTTTGATTAAATCTGACATGCTGCTGATAACTCCATGCTAATGTGAAATAATTAACGTAATAGCCATAATTAAAAGCACGCTAACAATGCCATAAATTTATCACACAATTTTACTAGCTTTCTGCCCCTAACTGCTCTCTCATCGTTAATTAAACGTGTTGCCTTTTACAGAATGGATGTTTATACATTTCCAATATAAATAAATTCGAAACCATCCTCTCTCTCTCTTCCTCTTTCTCTCCTCCTTTCCTTTTGGACTCTCGCCATTTACAGGCACGCCTTGGCGTGGACCCTGAGTGGCAGACACCTTGAAAATAAATGAAGTCTTAAGATGCAAATCCAAACAAGAACATTAAATTGGCCTCTTTTTTTCCACTTCGAAAAGATCCGGAGAGGTATACAACGGGGTGGTGGTGGGGAAGAGAGTTGAAAATTCCACCCATTGGGAAATGGAAATAATCTGGGTGGGTTGGGGCCTTGGGTATCATCTCTGCCCTTTCCACCCTCCTTGGTGGCAGCCATCCAGACAAAGAGGCCGATAATAGTTTAACAAATCTATGAAGACTGTCAAGAAGAAGCAGACTTTGATTGTTGTGGGCGTGGGGGTCTAGGGGAGAAAGCAGGGTTATTTTTCTAATAGCCCCACCCACGTTTTGCTTTCTCTCCGAAAGAGAGTAACTGCTCTCGGTGGAGGATGTGCCCTTTACTCCGCGAAACCTGGACCCAACTCCCCGGATTGTAAGAAAAGTGCACCCGCGCGCGGGCGTGATGACTCTATCTCACACCGCGCCAACGATTTATGCAAGCCACTGGCACAGTCTCTGAATTAAAAGACAAGAAAGAGGGCACCTGGGTTCACTTGGGCCTGGTGAGGGGTAGGTGGGTAATTCCCGCCTTCTGCACTCTGACCGTGCTCCTCCTCCAGTGTTGACCACCTAAGAACCCAAAATGAGCTGTAATTAATTTCCCTTTCTCTACTATAAATTTTTCTATCCACTTATTTCCCTTCCCATCCCCCCCCCCCCCCCCCGCAACCCGGACGCACACACTAAATCTCCCCTCCCCTGGAGACGTCTCAATTTCCTTGCTATCGATCAGGACTCCACTATTCTTGCCTCCTGTTACTAGAAAGTGGATCCCTACTCCCCCCACCCCTCATTCCCACGGCGTCCAGGTGGCTTTCCGGCGGGGTACCACGTACTCTGCCCACTCCAGGAGGAACCGAAGGAGTTTCATTCCATTCTCCTTTGGTTGAAACATTTGAGCAGGTGAGGCAGCTGGCTGCCATCTTCCCCTTTAAATCTCTCCTGGGAAGTTCGCTTTCTGAGACTCAGAGTCACTTAAACTGTGTGTGTGTGTGTGTGCGTGTGCGTGTGTGTGTGTCTACTCATTCTCCCTCTACCTCCCCAATAACCCTTTGTGACTCAGAAACTGTTTATCCACACACACACGCCCCTTTCCTTTCCCTTTATCAAATTTTCTTCCCCCCACTGCATGTGTCTCACTTTCTCTCTGTATCTATCTCGCTTCTTTCATCTCTGTCCTAAAGCTTGGCGGTAACTGACGAACTGTGGGCTTTCAGCGGCAAACTGCAACTACGCGGCAAACAATTTACTTAGCCTGGAATCTAGCCGGCCACCGGCAGGACCCTGCACCACGTTGGGATCGGACCCTTCAGCTGGGGCGGCCTCCTGCATGGAGGCCAGCAGGAAGCTTACTGTCTCCCACCCCGGGCGCCGCTTAGCCTCCTTCCCGCCCCCGGAGATTGTGCGAGCGCTATGGTCCGCCTAGAGGGAGAAAGCCAGTGGCCGGTTCCCGAGCTGAGGGTGGCGGCAGAAAAATCCTCTGCCTCCGCTGGAAATCGATATTAGGCCAGCGCGGGCGCGGGACGTCGGGGCCGCAGCCAGCAGGTTCTGCACGTCTCATCATTTAGCTAATCGAGTCGAAAAGTTTCTGTAAGGGCCGGACCCAGCATCAGATGGTAACACTGATTGAACAAGAGATTAGCACAATAGATCTCTAACCGAGGGGAAGCGTTGCTTTTCACGCTACGCGCCGTAATTAATGGTATGAATCAATTAATTTGACTTTTATTGTGTCGAAGGAAAAAAGCGCAACAAATGGAACGGGCAGCTGGGAGTTGTTCATACCCCACCCCCCTTCCCCAGGGAGGTTCCAAGGAGACACCCGGGAATGGACGGATCAGGCCGAGCGGTGGCGGAGGGAGGGTAGGAGGCAGCAACCGGCAGCGTGGAGGGAGTTCAGAGAGCTAGGCTCGGCAGGCGGCGGAATCGAAATTAGGCTCATTTGGAGACACTTCGAGACCGGTGAGGGCAGCCCTGTAGCCACCATCCTCCCGCGCGCGTCCACACGCACCCGTCCATGCGGGGCCAGCCACCTAGGCCGCGGCAGGGCCAGCGCTGCTCCCCGCGCCTCTGGGGCTGGGCAACACAAGCAGAGGAAAGGGGGTTTCTGAATGTGTAAATTTCAGCTTTTTAGCTTTTTTTTTTTTTTGGTCCTTCCGACCCTCCTTTGGTTGCAGAGGCAGTTGCAGCCGCGACCTCTGCAGCCCGGGGCGGTGGTCAGCCAGCTCAGTTCGGGTAGGTTTTGCGGAAGGCTGTCTAGACGGCTTTGTAAACGGTTAGGAGCCTGCGGGCCGCAAAGCTGTGCAGCTACGGAAATCAACTCTGAGATGCGTTTTAGGGCCAGGTGCAACCTCGGGATCATTTAGATAAAGAAAAACCATAGAGGTTCGCGGGCGTCTCAGGATAGAGTCACTGCCCCCCACCCTGCTCCCAGCCCCAACCAGGAATATCCTGCGCAGTCAGGATCCAATGGGTGTTAGTGTTAAATGAGGGGAAACTGTCTAATGGAGATAAAAGTCAATCTGTGTGTCTCAATGCTTGTAATGAAGCAAGTTTACAGATTTTAAAATTTTTATTTTTATTTTACTGAGTTATTTTTGGTGTGTCTAGGACGAGGAAAGAGGAGATCGTGGGTGGGAAACAGACTGAGGGAATCAGAAGCACCGCTGTTCATCTGGAATTAAATCCGCATCCCAGCATCTTCTGCAAATATTTCACCAATTATTTCCTCTCGGACCTCCTCCCCTCGTGCTCCTTCCTCTGGTGAGGCCGGCGCTCCGGACAAATAGGGATTGGGTTCCATGTGCCTGCCACAACGGGCAGACTCTTGCTGCTCCCAACTAGGCGGCCTAAATGCGAGAGGAAAGAGGAGGCATGACGGATTCACCGGGTCAAGAGCACTGACTCTCCTTGGAGGTGTGAGGTCCGCGCACCCCAGCCACGTACTTGGAGTCGTTTTGCAGTGCCTCCCCCTCCAGTCACAGTGAAATCCCCACAGTTTTTCCTACCATCACTGACTTGCATTGCACTCCGCGAGCACTGGCCACACATCCTCGCCTCCTCCACCCGCTCTGCCGCCGGTTTCCTAGGAAGTTAAATCTTGGAGGATTTGTCTACACCTTAAGAGGAGAAAATCCACGTTAGTTGGCAGCAACGGAAAGCCCAGCCCGCTGGCATGCCCAACTCTGCCCAGGTTCCTCCGAGGCCATGCCCGCCGCCAGGGAAGTCACCACCCGCACCCCTCACGTTTCTTCAGCCGCCCCTGCATGGGCGCGGCGTCTAACCTGGAGGCACTAGGCCTCTTCCCGGATCCACTCGACTTACCCAGGCCGCCGCCAATCCCGGCTCCTTTCCCAGCGCCTCATTTCCGATTTTTTCATATGCTAAGTCGTTTAACAACTCCAAGTAGCCAGTTATGGCTTCTTTATTTATAGGTTCCCTGTTATTTTACGTCGTTTTTATTCCTCTAGGCAACTATTCTAATAGATTAATCAATAGCCATTTTCTGACCTTCGGGAACCCCAGCTGATGCTGTTTGTTGTCGCACGAAAAAATACATAGAGAAAAAACATGCCTGCACCAAGCCGGGAAAGCGCAGGAAGGACTAGAGAGGTTTGGTTGGGGGAGGGGGGAAAAAAAAGACATCTCAGCAGGTGTCTTCCCCGGAATGCGCACTGAGGCCGGAGGGGGATCTGAAGTCTAATTAGCAAGAGCGAGCCGGGCGCGCAGCTCTTACTCTTTAAAGCTAAAAGCAATGAAACAAAAAGGAAAACAGAGACTAAGTTTTGCTTTTTAAAAGATGGGATGGGAACCTTGTTCTAGGTCGCCCAGTCCCTGTCTAAGGAGTGTGGCAACAGGGGGGAGATAAGGGGGGAAGGGAGAGGGGGCGGGGAAGGCAAGGCAGCGACAGTCGCACAGTCTGGCAGACGCTTCCAGACCCACGCCCTCACTCGATCACACCCACCTACCCACCCACACTCACAACCACCCGCTCCCTGGGCCCCAGGACCCTGGTCCCGCCTGGGTGGGGGTCTCCGGGCGGGTTGGAGCGCCCTCGGGGCCCCGGGGATGCTGGCGCACCGTGCGGAGCGGAGTTGCGCGTCTCTCGTCCCTTTGTTGACAATTCCCTGAACCAACTTGAGTTTGGCCGGCTCCGCCGCGGCCCTGACGTCACGCACGGTCACGTGGCCCCGCCTCCCGCTGGATCTTTAAGTAGAAAGTAATCTATCAGGCCAGTCCTTAAAACGGGACTTTCGACTACCGGGGCTTCGGCGTCCCTGACACCTAGCCCCCTCCGCCCCCCCGCGATTGCCCCTGCCCGGGCCCTTCCGAGCCGCTCGGCGCCCGGCGTCCCGCGCCCGCCTGGACCGCTCCTGCGCCCCACGCCAGGGCCAGAGGCCGAGGAAGGCGGGCTAAGTGAGGGAGCGCGGAGTGGACAAACCGCCGGGGCCGGGAGCTGTATCAAGCGCCTAGAACCGAGCGCCAGGGAGGGCAGGAGTTCTCAGAGCGCGGCCGCGGGGGGCTAACGGCAGCGCCGGCGCCGCGCTATGCCGGGCCGCCGAGTGTGAGCCAAGCGGAGCGGGCCCCGAGCCACCTGCGGCCCCCTCCCCTCTCCCTGCCCCCCATCTTTCGGGGGCGACTCAACCCTCTTCCCCTGAGCTCCGCGGCAGCCCCCGACCACCCCAATCGCCCGCTGCCCCCTCCCCGCCGCCGCTACCAACCCCGAGGAGGGATGACCCTCTCCGGCGGCGGCAGCGCCAGCGACATGTCCGGCCAGACGGTGCTGACGGCCGAGGACGTGGACATCGATGTGGTGGGCGAGGGCGACGACGGGCTGGAGGAGAAGGACAGCGACGCGGGTTGCGATAGCCCCGCGGGGCCGCCGGAGCTGCGCCTGGACGAGGCGGACGAGGTGCCCCCGGCGGCACCCCATCACGGGCAGCCTCAGCCGCCCCACCAGCAGCCCCTGGCATTGCCCAAGGAGGCGGCCGGGGCCGGGGCCCGACCGGGGAGCGAGGTGGGCGCCCCGGAGGAGGACGGCTGCAAGGGCGGCGTTGGCGGCGAGGAGGGCGGCGCGAGCGGCGGCGGGCCCGGCGCGGGCAGTGGTTCGGCGGGCGGCCTGGCCCCGAGCAAACCCAAGAACAGCCTGGTGAAGCCGCCCTACTCTTACATCGCGCTCATCACCATGGCCATCCTGCAGAGCCCGCAGAAGAAGCTGACCCTGAGCGGCATCTGCGAGTTCATCAGCAACCGCTTCCCCTACTACCGGGAGAAGTTCCCAGCCTGGCAGAACAGCATCCGCCACAACCTCTCACTCAACGACTGCTTCGTCAAGATCCCCCGCGAGCCGGGCAACCCCGGCAAGGGCAACTACTGGACCCTGGACCCACAGTCCGAGGACATGTTCGACAACGGCAGCTTCCTGCGGCGCCGGAAACGCTTCAAGCGCCACCAGCAGGAGCACCTGCGCGAGCAGACGGCGCTCATGATGCAGAGCTTCGGCGCCTACAGCCTGGCGGCGGCGGCCGGCGCCGCGGGACCCTACGGCCGCCCCTATGGCCTGCACCCGGCGGCGGCGGCTGGTGCCTATTCGCACCCGGCAGCGGCGGCGGCCGCGGCGGCTGCGGCGGCGCTCCAGTACCCGTACGCGCTGCCGCCGGTGGCGCCGGTACTGCCTCCCGCCGTGCCGCTGCTGCCCTCGGGCGAGCTGGGCCGCAAAGCGGCCGCCTTCGGCTCACAGCTCGGCCCGGGCCTGCAGCTGCAGCTCAATAGCCTGGGCGCTGCAGCGGCCGCTGCGGGCACCGCGGGCCCCGCGGGCACCACCGCGTCGCTCATCAAGTCCGAGCCAAGCTCGCGGCCGTCGTTCAGCATCGAGAACATCATAGGTGGGGGCCCCGCGGCTTCCGGGGGCTCGGCGGCGGGCGCTGGGGGCGCAGGCGGCACTGGGGGATCCGGGGGCGGCAGCACCGCGCAGTCGTTCCTGCGGCCACCCGGGACCGTGCAGTCGGCAGCGCTCATGGCCACGCACCAGCCGCTGTCGCTCAGCCGGACGACCGCCACTATCGCGCCCATTCTGAGCGTGCCGCTCTCCGGACAGTTTCTGCAGCCCGCAGCCTCGGCCGCCGCCGCTGCAGCCGCCGCCGCTCAAGCCAAATGGCCCGCGCAATAGGGACGCGCCAGTGGCCGGGACCCAGGGCCGGGTGCGGCCTCGAGCGGCAGCTGCTACTCCAAGCTACGCGCCCTGTCCCGATCCCGGTCCCGCCGCCCAATCCTGGACTCTGTCTCTCCCCCATTTCCTTGCCCCTGAGCCCCCAACGCCTACCTTCCGCGGCCTCCATCCCCTCGCGCACACCTAAGCTGGTCGAGCAAACACCGCGCGCCCGCCGGGGATAGCTTTCCATACAGGTAAAACCGAAAACCGAATTTTTCAAAAATGCACCCCGACGGCGCCTGCTCTTAGTACCGTGGGGATGAGAGGGAAATTCTTTGTATATATTTGTATAAAAATTATTGACTTTCCTTTTGGGGTTTTTATTTTTTTAAGAAAAAACAAATTCCGTAGATTTAGAGCTCTGAACTTTCATTTTTTTTGAAGGTTCGCTCTCCGAAGTTTTATCTGAGAAAAGAATGTATAGAGACGTTGGGAGATTTTAAATATAAAAAATTTTCAAAAAGGCAAAAAGTGTCACTCTATTATGAAAGTCTGTTTATATATGAATGAATATATATGGTATTCTAAATGTTATTCCATCGTGTTGTACACAACTTTGTAAATAAATTTTTTAAATGCCCAGCCTAGTGTTTCATTTAGTTGTCTGAAGTAAATGGCAAGATTTTAAAATGTTATTTGCCTTTTCGCCTCTCCAGAAAATCAAGGAATTTCAAGTAATGACCTTTTCAAACTTTATTAATTCATAAATTGAGTGTAAGAAAATTTTAATTGGAGAAAGGAAACAGTATGCTTAATTTAAACTGTGTTAATTTTTTTTTAGTTTTCACATAAAATCAGGATATGGGCGATAATATCATTCATATCAACCCATTAAATCTAAATGACCAGACATTTCTGTAAAGTAAGCTGTCATAAAAAAAGAAAGAAAACAACAGCAGAGTCTTTTAAAAATTGTTTTTAAATGACCAAACTTGTATATTCCGCAATGAAAACTTCCCAAATGAGGGAGTTCCTGGTCTTTTCAGTTACCCTTTTAAAAGTAAATAAATTCCAAACATCCCTCTTTTTAGCATTTAAATCTTAGATTTTTGAAATTATTTCTCTTCATTCCTTAAGTGGTAAATAAACCCAGCTGGTTTAAAAAATTTATGTTAAGGCATTTTACATTTTGCAGCGGGCTTTTATTCTCTATATTCATCTGATAGATAATACATGGTTTTGTTTTTCATAATATTTTCAAATAAGATCTCATTTATAGGACAATAATCAATTCAGAACATAATCGGATTTCTGAAGGATTCCTATGGATACTTCCTCTCCCTCCAACCCGAAGCTTTCTAAAGGCCAAGGAATGGTGGCCTTAATATCACTTTAAAAACAGCTCTGCATATCACGTCTTCCCCCTTTTTTCTTTACCTTAGGTTAGGTTAGTGTGAAATGCGAGATCATAGGACAGGAATGGGGAAGGTCCTCGTAGATTATTTTTTATGTGCATTTCAGCTGTTAAAAACCCTTTAAAGAAAGGATGAAGGTAGAAATGAAACATCTTGATGTGGGAGGCTGGTTCTCACCACCATCAGCACATCCTCAAAAGGCATCAATTCTAATTATTTCATAATTAATTTAGCTGTTACAATTACTTGTGCGAAATCGCTTTTAAAAACTGGAGCGAGTAGCAGTGCTGTCGCTGGGCCCTGCGTGCGTCCTTTTGGTCAAAGCCGGCCAGTCCCCGGTGTTGTCCACTTTGCCTCCCTGGTGGTGGAGATGCCTCCCTACCGCGGATTCCAGCCTCATTTCTCCGCTGTCGACGTGGGCTGGAGATCGCTTTGAAAGACGCTTCCTTGCAAATACCGAAATCTGTTTTCCTGGTAAACAGTAAACATTATTGTGTCCTGAGTAAACATTCCTTCGGGATCAGGGTCCTAAAATAAAACAAGCTGCCGGGGGTGAGATAGTTTAACTTGATAAACAAGAACCTGATAAACACTGCCGAGAGGAGCAACGGTAACCTTCATCGAGAAGAGATTATGGACCACACGGTCTCCGGGTGGGTCCCTTCTAATCTCCTTTTACAAGAAAAACTAAACGGATCTAATTTTGTTTGTGTGTTGCAGCTATAAAAGTAACAAGTTGTTTCACAGTTGTGTCTGGCTAATCGGTTTTTACACAAACAGCAAATGGTACATGATTTGTGCAAACACATAGAGAGGTTATTTCTAAATTTAGCTGACACCCCCTGGGAAAAGGGAAAGGCAGGGCTTCTTGAATTCACTTTTAGCCTCAAGAAGCTGCTGATCCAAGGCTTCTAAATGACATTGGATAACAGGGGCCTCATTCCATCCCTGATCCTTTGTTACTTATAAAATTACTCGCTCATATTTCCGCGCATAGCAGCAATACCGGCCGAGCCTGCGCCTGCAGCGTGACACTCAGCCACAAGCCGCCGCCGGAGACTCGCAGGGCTTTTTCCAGCGCTACATTCATTAGGCGGCGAGGTGAACAGAAGGAGAGAGCTGCCGGCAACTTTCCTTCCAGCCACTTCTTACCGTTGAACGATGGCCTGGAGATGGTCCCCTTCCTTTAAGTCTTGGGGGACCAGAAACTCTCAGACCCAGACCCCGACCCCCAACCTGCTAGTGGTGGTTTAAAGTGCTGGCAGATGTCAGGCAGATGGGCCCGGCCGTCGCACCCTCAAAAGGGTGTTTGGTTTAAGCTTTTTAAACCACGAAGATTTAGCGCAGAAGGGGAAATGCAAATATCATAATGATCGCTAGCATTTAGTGGTGGGGTAGGGGGAAGCCTGAAACCCACGTCTGAAGTTATGGAACGTAGGCACCTGCGACAAACGGCACTGGAAACAGCTCTCTCGTTGGGATTTAAAGGCAACACGACTAATATCCACTTTTTATTCCACTTAAGAGAAAAAAAAAACTAAAGGAAGGGGGCCAGATTTATTTGCAATAAAAGGAGGAAGCGGGTTGATTTTTATGGGGAAGATTTTAGCTTTCGGCTACACACGCATTTAGACTTTTCTG